AACGAGCAGTCGATGACACGAGGTGTGAAGTGGCCGTCAATGAGCGACAGCTGACGACAAGGGCGACGGCGAGGGAGACATTTGCAAGGGAAATAACATGCATGTCGGGTCGGGTCGGGTCGGGCCGGTGCGTGCCGCCGCCCCGAACGTGTCGCCCGGCACGCCTTCCGCCCGCCGCGCCCGCTAAGCACTTCCCTATGGGGCCTCGGCCTCGCCCTGCCCCGCCGGACACGTTCCCAAAACGGGTCCACCCCTTCCTCCGTAGAGGGACGCGCAGCGCACTGCGGCACTGGAGGCACTGGCTGGCACTGCGGCGGCGCTGACGCTGGCCGGCGACGTTCAAACTTGAGCCGTACATCACGTCGAGGAGGAGAAGCACTGTCCGGGGTGCTGCTGCAGCACCGCGCGACGCGGGCGCCGCACTGGCTGCGCTACGACCTCGGCCCCGAAACCCTGTCGTAGCTCAATGGCTCAATACAGCTCCACCGACTGTACCTTACGACCACCGGCGCGCGGAAACTACACACACACACATACACCCCCCCACCCCCCACACACACACACAAGATGTGGGCAACTCGGGGCAAGTGCGCAAAGATTAATTTCGCGAGTTCTATGCAACTGTGCGAACGCAAGATCCGATCGGTTTTATTTTCTGTCGCGGGACTGGCAACTGCACGACAAGCTGCTTGAACCCGCGCGAGCGCCTGTCCCCTGACAGAAAATACAGTCGCCCACATCTCCCACTCGCTCTGCCGTGTTTCGGTGCGCGAACCGATTTGCCTACTCCCTCTGCCCGTAAGGCGCCGTGGCCCCTGTGCCTGTGAGTAGCCAACCCGCCAAGAACTCTGTGCGCTCCGATACAAGCGAAACACCCGGCACTCGCGCGGGGGAAAGAGGAGGCTTTGAGGGAAGGAGAGAGGGAAAGGAGGGGGAGTGGGAGAGAGGCAGGGGAGGGGCGCGAGAGAATGGCAGCGAGAATGACGTCCAAAACAATGCACGGCGAAGTGGAGACTCGGGGAAGAGCCGTGATCGGGACGGAGTGCGACACCGGGCGAGTGAGAGGTGACGTACGACAGGTGCCCCGCCCCCTCTCCCTTTACCCAGGTGTCGAACGACAGCCGACAGCTGCATGAGACGTGCGATGGTCGGGGTCGGATTGGAGGGAGGAGGGTGGGAGAGGAAGGCAGGGGTGGAGGGTGGAAGCCCTGCGCTAGCCCGAGGCTGGTCAACCTTCCAAGCCGGGTCGGGCGCGGGTACTAGCTGGCTCCCCGCTCCCCTACGGGCCCCGGCAGCGAGAGCGAGGCGCTGGCAGGCCGTCAGCTCAGGTGAGCCAACTGCCGATAAAAACACTGTACTGGTACTGTGTGCTGTACTAACGGGTCGCCTTCTTCATACAACCAATCCCAAGGTTTTAGCACAGCCACTGCAAAAGACAGCAGGCCCACAGATAGATGCGAGGCCCGCGGCCCGCGGCCGTGCACCAGGCGGTTGTGACCCCGACTCGGAGAGATGGCCTGATGTCCTGCTGTGCGTTATGTTGCGCAATTTTGCCCCCTTTTTGGCGCAACATCTGGGGCTGCCGATTCAACTCCCCCCTCTCCCTTAAAACATGCATGCATCCCTCAGTGCACCCTCGTTTCGGGCGGTGTGCCCTGCGGTCGCCGGCCGGGCCACATGCAGGTGCACAGTGCGGGACACGCCGCCGGGACACCTTTTCAAGTTCTTGAAATTGATAAGATTAGCCCGCTCACCCTTATCAATCTGGCCGTGGCTCCTGAATACTGTTTCACGGCCCGATATATAAGTCGGTTAGGTCATTCCTACACACATCATGGGGGTGGAGAGCATGGCGCTTGCACCCCGGTTGGTCCCAAATGAAGACACCTGAGAGTAGGCAACTTGCGTCCGCATGTGGGCAACCCAGATGGCATCGCCCCACCCGTCAGTGGAGCTTCTTAAAACCGCCGCCCCTTGAACGTGAAGGCCCCCGCGACTTACTCGCACGGCAAATATGCGTTCGCTCCGCGGGGCCCGGCTCCCGCTCCTCGCAGCAGATAAAGAGCCTGCCGTGCTGCAGATGGACGGGCGGCCGGAGCCGGACTCGCGACCTTAATTGCCCGCCGCTTAATTAGCGCTTCGGCAGCGAGATAAGGGCCGAGAGCGGCACGCCCAGCCCGCATAATGCTAGAGCATTACTTAGTTAGCGCGGCAAAACCGAAAGGGGCGCGCGCGAGAGAGAGAGAGCTTTCTACATGAAATTACCACCGGAGCTGCTCCTGCTCCGCGCTACGCTGCCCGGGCGCACCCTGCCGGCCTCAACGCCGGCGGGGTGTGGTGCCAGCTGCTCACCTGCTATCCGGAGGACCGCCCTGTCGGCGGGGTCCAGCTGCAGGATGCTGAGGGGCTTGTCCTTGGCCCACTCCTTGAGGCTGAGGTCCAGCTCAAAGTCCATGGCTGAGCCGGTGGCTGAGCCGGTGGCGGTGCTGTTCGCGGGGGAGGCTGGGGCTGCTGCGGAGCCGGCGGGCGGACAGACGCCGGCCGGACGGGCGGACTATCGATCCGGCCGCGAGGTCCTCGTGGTCGCGCCGCGCGCCGCCCTAGCCTGAGCTCGCCGGCATGGCGGACGTCTTCTTCTCCTTCTCCTCCTCCTCGGCGGCGACCTGGCCCTGTCTGTCTGGTCGCACCTGCTCGGACACCGTCGGTGAGGCGGCGCTAGTGTGCAGGGTGGCACCCCTGCCGTGTAGGCCGGCCACAGCTGGCCCGCCAGCAGGCACGCGTCGAAGTTTGCCTCTTCATCGATCCACGGTGGTCACTCTATATTGACGCGAGACAGTCCTGGCCACCTTTCACCGTGTTTCCTTCACAGTTGTTTTCAATATTGCAATTATAGTTAATATTTTTCTTACGCGTATGGTAGAAACAATTAAATGTAAATTGGAATAGTAATTTTACTTAATTTGTCATAGGTGGTTGCGTCGTTTTGATTTCGTTTGTACAATATCTTTTTAAAAAATTGATTCAAAGTTTGGCTGGGACGCAAACAATGTCCTAGGTCATTAACGTATATCACAGATGATTTCCTTGGTAGATCGTGGACTGGACGAAACTCGTGCACCTCATGCAAACTCATTCATGCACCCTCTGCTTGTATCACTCGTCACTCGTTGTGCACAACCACACTCCTCATTTCACCACTTCGCACAACTTGACTATTTCACTTCACTTTTGGCATCACTACACATCACTTCACACGCTTTGTGTTGTTGTTGTTGTTGCCGTCCCCGGGTTCGCAAGGGGCTGTTGCACTCAGCAGACTATACAAGCGACTGCTGCAAAATCACGCAATCGCGCACACGACGACGGACGGGGCCGTGCGAGGGGGCCAGCGCCCAGTGTGACGAGGGCGAGGGGGCGCGTCACAGTCACGCGTCCGTCACGCGAGACAGTGACGAGCAGTGACGAGGGGAAAGAGGGACAGTGAGCGCGCCCCCTCGTGCTAGCGCCGCGGGCGAGCACCGCAGCGAGACTGCTGCCGCGCCGCCGCGCACCGCGCGCCGCGCCGCCGAGAGGAGCCTGGGCCGCCCTCCCCCTCCTCCACCCCTTCGGCCGCTCCCTCCTCCCCTCCCTTGGCCGTCTCTCTCTCGCTCGCGCTCCCTCGCTCTCGGCGAAGGGCGTACAGCGCGTTGGCCGCACCCTGCACCCTCGCCGCCGCCGTCACCACCCCCGAGTGCCGAGTACACTGCCAGATGTTAGGGGTGCGTTTCAAAGTGTGCTGCATGAACGGACGAGGGGTTTCTGTCCGCACCTGGAGAAGCCTGTTCCTCAATCGAATCAACTTAGTTGACCCAATTCAAACGTGTTTTGTTTTGGTTAACTTCTGTGCCAGGTGGGCCCACCTGCAAGTGTCCTACTAAGTACCTCGAGCACGCACTGTGGGACTATGCAAGTATTTGCGACTTTTCACCCGAGGTACACGGTTGTAAACCCGGTGCACTAAAAAGTGCCAAGACAAAGGATAATACTGCATTGCCCCCACTTAAGTCCGAGAGAAATATTGGACGCAGTTTATCAACGTTAATTACGCCCTCCCCCTCCTAAGCACACGGACTTAGCGACGTCCTCAGTTAAGCTTTACTCGAATGCATTATTGCAGCGTAACGTACCACCAAATCCCACACTTGATTCGAGAACTCGTTTTCCTGCTGGGCCGCGCACCGAACTGTGATCGGGTTAATGTCGCCTCGAACCGCGCCCAGCCTAAACTAACGCGAACGCGGAAGTGTGAGAAGCGCGGGTCTCATCGTTCCCACCACTTTAGCGTTAAACTGGGCGCTCATCCTAGCGCTTGGCCACCCGAGCTCGGCTCGCCACCGAGCGCCACACTCCGCCACCGCACCTGACGCTTTCCTATCGCGTTCCGCACACCTCCCTCCCTCCCTCCCCGGGCTATCAGGTGTGGTACCGCGATGCCTCAATAACCACGTATAGAGGGTCGCCGCGTGCGTCAAACGCCGCCTCGTCATGTTTAACGAACTAACGTGGAAAAAAGTGACAGCAGGAGACCTCCTCCCCTCTCCCTCCCTCCCTCCCCTTTTCTCCCAGCAGCCAGCGGGACACAGGAAGCGCTTAGCGTGGCTGCCGGCACTGTACACTGGTGTGCGGTCGGACTGGGGCTTTACTCGCATCAGCTGATCGGCCTGTCGCGCCGGCTGGGGCAGAAAGGGATTGGGGGGGGGGGGCATCGCCGCGGGCGACGGGGCCAGCGGTAGTGAACCCGTCCGTCCACCTATACATTCATCTATCAACCTATTGAATGTAATATCTCGGCGCCCATTCATTCGACCATTGTTGAGCTCGTCTGATTGTTCACTCATTCATTCGCTGATTCGTTGATTCGTGGATTCAGTAACCGCCATCGCTTCCGATCAGGAACTGCATAACTTGTTCCGCGCCTTTTTTTGCAGTGGGTCGGACGCAGCGTCGCGGTGCGCCGCGAGGTATAGCGCGCCCACGGGCAGGCCAGGTTGTCGCGGACGGGCTATGGCGGCCCGGGGGGAACGGCCGGCCGGTGCATCAGCGGTGCTCCGCTGGGCCCTGCGCCAATCACAGCCGGGCCCGAGCAGCGCCGACAACAGCCGAGCAGATCCCGCGGGTACCCGACGCCGCCGCCGCCGCGACGCCGACGCCCGTGCCGCTCTACCCCGCGGACCCGCGACCGGGATGGGCGCGCGGCGCGGCCGACAGAGGGCGCCGCAGGGCACCGCTTCCTCGCAGTCCTTGCGCGCGGGGTATCGCCAAGGACGCGGCGAAGGATGGCCGTACTCCAGGGGTGCGTGTACCTCTCTTTGCAAAAAGTGGAAGAGAGGGGGGGGGGGCGGTCCTGTGAGAGGAAAGGGTTCATTCTCTTGTAAATTGGACCCAAGTAGTTTGCCAAGATTTACAAGGTGGCCCATCGGCGCCGTCCTCTATCCCGCTTGTACTGTGCCGGGAGCAGTCGTGCGTATGGGCTTGCCTATCGTCGCTCACCGAGGCGCCGCACGGCCCCGTACGAGTAGTGTGCAGCCAGTCCGCGGGCCTGCCTCCTGTGCAATGTTAACCAGAAGAGAAAACAGCGCAGAAGAGGCCAGCCCGCAGCAATGTAATTTAGGTGTTCGTCGTTGTGACAGAATCGGTTTGATTAACGCTCCCGCGGGCGTCCGTTAGCTCAGCTACCCGAGCCCGCTCTGATACCCCCAGACGGGGTGGCGCCTGGTGCCCTTGCCCCTCCCTCCGG